ATATTTACGTAAATATCTTAGAAAATAGAGGTCGTATAAAAAATTTTTTCAAGCAAAAGTTATTTGCGTTTTTACGTTGAATAAAATGCCGTAATAAAAAATATGTATTTCTATTTAAAAAAGCAAAGTTGACCTTGTTCTGACCTTGGCGACGCCATCCTATGTCAAATAACTACTATTGTTTAATGCGTTTTTTTAAGCGTTACAACTTTTGTCTGAAACATTTTTCTCTCCCGTGCTTGGTTTTCGACATATTCGACTGGATGGATTAAAATGGTCCACCCTGTATATATATATATATATATACAGTGTTTTTTTTAACTTGAGACTGCTAAATATCTTGAAAAATAAGCATGGTACGACAAAAATGTCCCAAATAAACCCTCAATAGTTTCGAGGGCGCAATTCAATCCCACAAAAATTATCCACCTCCCGCCCCTTCTGGGAATGGGGCGGGGGGTAACTTTGAAATCTTAAGTGGGAACCCCTACTTTTTATTACAGATTCGGATTTTACATCCAAAAACGCGTAACTTTTGTCTGAACTTTTTTTTTCTATTTCTGATAGATGGCGCTGCATTCGGCGAAAATTGGGTAACCTTCGTTTTCTTCAAAGGGAATCCCCTATAATGACGCTACGTCGAAGAAAAGTAACTTTTGTCGGAAACATGTTTTTTCGAATTATCGTAAATATTACTTGGATATGTTAAGAATTTAACACTAAATTTTGAAAGATCGTGAGTGGACCATTTGGAAATGACCACGTCGAAATGACGACTAAAACCTCTTGAATTTTTAACATCATCATTTGTATAACATTTGTAAAGGTCAAAGCCATTGGAGATTGTAACTTTTATTTTCATTTTTTAGTTAAGACGGATAAAAAATTATCGTAGAATGCAGCGCCATCTATCAGAAATAGAAAAAAAAAGTTCAGACAAAAGTTACGTTTTTGGATGTAGAATCCGAATCTGTAATAAAAAGTAGGGGTTCCCATTTAAGATTTCAAAGTTACCCCCCGCCCCATTCCCAGGGGGGGGCGGGAGGTGGATAATTTTTGTGGAATTGAATTGCGCCCTCGAAACTATTGAGGGTTTATTTGGGACATTTTTGTCGTACAATGCTTATTTTTCGAGATATTTAGCAGTCAAGTTAAAAAAAACACCCTATATATATATTAAATAAAATTTATATTCTTATATATCTGCAATTTAATAACGTTTCTTTCTCAATATGCATGACTTGTCTGTGTATGTGTATGTGTGCGTGTAAAGAAGTAAAAATATGGGATTTATAACAAGATTTAGATTTCTTGAAGTTACATTTGTGTCAAGATAAGAGGACAGGTTTGACTTGTTTCTATTCCGTTCGTTCGAGTTTGAATTAGTGACGCAATTTTTGTTTTATTGTATATATTTTTCGCTTTTGATGTGTTCAGGTCTTGCACAGCTTGCCTAGAGTATTAACCAAGTTTTCATATGACGCAGCTATTTATCCGAGTCTTACGAAAGAGTTTATAGGTCTTGCAGAAAAGAGGGAGTTAAATTTCGTTGAATAGTGTAATTAACGTGAGCTAAGTGTTGGTGTCCGCTTAGGCCGGTTAGTAGAGAAGCAGCAGCGACCGGCTGCTTCCGCCAACGGAAGGAAGAGCGAACGTCGCGCGGGATAGAATAAGGAAGTGCCGAACTCTCTCGTAGAATTAAAGACGGTCATGCGCTATTGGTGATGCGGATTCAATGAACATTTAACTTAATAGAGAACCATGGGGCACACGGTGGCCGGTGGCTTCGATCCACGTGTAAATCAGCGGGTAAACGGCGCACAAAGTTATGCTTCGATTCGCGCTGGAGGTACGAGATGGTGATCTCATAACGGGGAAAGGAGAAAGTGTTTCACCAGCAAACCGGTGTGAACCTCTGCCCGACTCGTTTCCTTCCACGAGACTTGTGATTACGTTATGTTGTCTGCCGGTCTCCCGTCGTCTCTGTCTCACTTTTTCTTTCTCCCTCTCATTTCTGTTTTTTTCAATTCCATCATGCAATTCTCATTGTCGACCTAAAATGTGCATGCGCAATCCTGACCATGACAATATCTCCGATCAGCAATTAGATGCGGGACAGGTGTATTAACCTATATACTTTACTTCCTACGACCAGTTAAGCGTGAAATCGTAGCGACCGGGATCTGACTTCAGTTTTTTGGCGTTTATAAAGAAACGGTATCTTCTCAAACTTGAGGGCAAACTTACGTAAAGAGGCAAGACAAGTTTGGAGAATTTTAAATAACAACGACGAGTTTTAACTGTTGCAAAAACTTGACCTGCTCACCCACAAAGGTATCGCTTTCTGTGAACGATCTTAATTTCATAATTATCTTAAATTACGGTCGAGGATTTCTACGCTCTGCGCATCGTGACTTCCTCTAAGACCTCGAAGACTTCCTCCTCGGGAATATTCCGCAGGCAATATTCGAAATAATTGAGATAGAGTGTCCCCCTCCCCCTCCTCTCTCTCCCTTTATACTAGAAGTTCTCCAAGGTTTTCCACGCGCTAAAACGATTTTATGGTATTATCGGGGCGTTTTCAAGTGCCAATAACGACTCGGCGAATAAAATCGCTATCGTCAATTGCGCGAGAGGCGTAAGAAAGAGGAGCGGAAAAACGAGGAACACGCTCGGCAGATTTCACGTATCACGCACGGAAAGCACGACGCGGAAGCTATCTCCACTTTTCCTGAAATGTTTTTCCTGAAATTGCTCGCCATAGACATCGGACGTAGTTACGGAAGAAAATCGCTGAGAGTTTAACCGATTGTATCGTAAATAATCGCAGATAGTGCATACCACGACGTTGCCACGATATCTGGGTATTCGAAACGGTTCACTGGCATAATTAGAAAGGGAGCAGAGCAATTATGCATTTATACAAATAATGCTATTTGCACTGCTATTTATCGAATCATTCTCTCTATATCTCAAGTGAGTTCCAATCTCTCGCGCCGTCTATAAATTTCATCATACGATGAATACCTCGTTTTTACTCGGCATGACGTTTTGTGCCAATTTATTAATGATTAATTATGGATTGAAGAGGTGACGCGGTTAGGAAATACTACGATGTAACTTTCGAGATGTTGAAAGCTCAAAACAAGACAAATGTCAATCGGTGAAAGTACGTTTGCAATGTCTTGCAATGTTTGCAATATTCAATTCTTCCTAACGTCGAAATTATATTGAACGGATGAAAATTTGCGAATTACGTAACAGCCACCTCCGGTGGGTAACTCGTCCCAAATACTTCGGGTGAAACGAACGTTACTCGTCCCGCAGCAGATCAGACCGGTTTAATGGCTCCGTGCGCTCGGGATAATCGTTTCCGACACATATAAGCCTCGGCTGTCACAAAAATTTCCTTTTATCGCGGCAGATGCGCAAAAATCTCTTTCATCAATAGATATCTAAATATGATATTAAACTAAGTGTGTCTTTGTCCAAGTACGCGGAAAAAATCGCTTTGTATCTAATAAAATACAATGAATAAGCTGTACATTGAGAAAAATTAACAAATATTTCTTAGAGATGGGTACCCCATTAATATATTTATTTAAATCAAAATTCTTTTCATTTAAACTGAGTATCGTTTACATGATTTATGTAAACAATATTCGGTTTAAATGAAAACAATTTTGATTTAATTAAATATGTTAATTGTATGCCATCCTGATTTAATTGAATATGTTAATTGTATGCCAACCCAAAGAAATATTTTGATTTAATTAAATATGTTAATTGTATGTCACCCTAAAGAAATGTTTATTAATTTTAAAATTTATTAATAAAAAAATTTTTTTCTCAATGTATGTATGTAATAAATAAATAAAACAATTCGTTTTGCGCAATACGAGGAATAAAAATTCATTCCTTCAGATAAATTTAGCAAATTTTTTTAGCGTTTCTTTTATTACTTACTACATGTTCACTAAATTCTTAATAACAAAATGTATAAAGCTTAATATACAATGTGCTCTTTGTTTCCTGTTTTTTGTTCTCTGTTTTAGTTTAAAGCCTAATCTACAATGTGTTCTTTGCTTCCTGTTTCTTGTTTTCTGTCTTTAGTTTAAGATTTAAGCCTGATCTACAATATGCTCTTTGCTTCTTTTTCTTTATCTCTTTTTGACATAAACCTTAAGCTTTAAGCCAGAAGAAGATAGAAGACAAGAAACAGAACGCAAAGAGCATATTGTAGATCAGGCTTTAAGGTTTGAGTCAGAAAGAGATAAAGAAAAAGTAACAGGAAATAAATAATATATTATAGATAAAGCTTAAAGTTTGATCTACAATGTGTTCTTTGCTTCCTACTTCTTTCTTTTTATTTTTTTTTAATTTAAATCTTAAGTTTTAAGCCAGAAAAGACAGAAGACAAAAAACAGAACGCAAAAAGCATATTATAGATCAGGCTTAATACTTAGGATTTCAGAAAGGGATAAATAAAAAGAAACAGGAAACAAATAATATATTGTAGATTAAACTTTATACAAAGACCGGTTTCCCAAAAAATAAGAATTTACATGAAAGTAGTTGAAAACTTGTTTTTGCCTTTTTCTTGCTTATTGTAGCAGTTATAAATAATTTATTGCGTGTATCAATAAAGTATAATGTGTAATACTTACGATGCATAATTTCACGAAGCATTAATAATTCATTGACACGTTAGACATCCTGAAGAAATATGTTGTATTTCTATTCTCCTTGTATGTATTTTTGTGCAACCAATTGTAGTGACATTCGTTTTAACAGCTTATTTTTTGCGATTTATTTATTCCTATATAAACAAAAAATGATAAATAATTATCACAAGATAAAAGGATCATATTTTAACATACACATAACACACTGAAATTTTAGTACAAAGTTTGTACTTATGTCGTTCTCTCGCACGTCGATCATTGACAGCACTCTATCGCAATTCAACTGAGATTGCACCGATATTTTATCACTGTTCGGCGAACAGATTTGCCGAACAATCCTTTAAGAATTCTTCACTTGGAGGACGAAAGCGTGGAAATTGATATTCCAGGTAACATTCGATTCCAATCGTCACTGATTTTAACACGAAAACCGTTCACTAACAATCGCGGAAATGGATGAATATAACGTGCGCGCGTACGTTATCACTGTCAAGAAATTCTGTCTGGAACACCGTTCGCGCTGGAAATTTGTCGGTAACTAGGCGACAGTCGAATGACTGAGATGTGAAGGCCGGTAATGACAGTCGGAAGAGCAATACGGTACTGCACCGATATACTCCATCCGTTTCACTCTCACCGTCTTTGTTGTTCCCACTCGTGCTTAGCTTTCTTCTTATCCTTCCCGAAGGCTCCCAACCATACTTTGGCAGTGAAAGTATTCTCTTCCTGTGGTTACCTACGCGTACCTACCTACCTACCCACCTACCTACCTACCCACCTACCTACCTACCCACCTACCTACCTACCTACCTACCCACCTACCTACCTACCTACCTACCTACCTACCTACCTACCTACCTACCAACCTACCTACCTACCTACCTACCTACCTACCTACCTACCTACTTACCTACCAACCTACCTACCTACCTACCTATCTACCTACCTATCTACCTATCTACCTATCTACCAACCTATCTAGCTACCAACCTACCTACCAACCTAACCAACCTTATAACCTACTAACCTACCTACCTACCTATCTACCTATCTACCTACCTACCTATCTATCTACTTATCTACTTATCTACTTACCTTTTTACCTACCTATCTATCTACCTACCTATCTACTTATCTACTTACCTTTCTACCTACCTATTTACCTACCTATTTACCTACCTATCTATCTACTTACTTACCTACCTACCTACCTACCAACCAACTAATCTACCTACCAACCTACCTATCTACCAACCTACCTACCTACCTACCAACCTATCTACCTATCTACCTACCTACCTATCTACCTACTTATCTACTTATCTACTTACCTTTTTACCAACCTATCTATCTACCTACCTATCTACTTATCTATTTACCTTTCTACCTACCTATCTACCTACCTATTTACCTACCTATTTACCTACTTATCTATCTACTTACTTACCTACCTACCTACCTACCTACCTACCTACCTACCAACCTACCTATCTACCAACCTACCTACCTACCTACCTACCTACCTACCTACCTACCTATTTATCTACCTATTTACTTACCTACCTACCTATCTATCTACCTATCTACCTACCTACCCACATACCCACCTATCTACCCTGCCAACGAGAATGTGGTGACCGAAGTGATAGTTGCGCACACGAACGTTGTTAGCTACGGGAACACATGAAGACGGTACGGTATCGTAATAGATCGGAGATTGTGTTGTCTGCTTCCGCAATCAGCAAAAACCGGTAACCTTTAGAGTCACGTAAAACATGATGTATTAATTTCAGAGAGAGAGAGAGAGAGGCAGGCACTTTCTGGAAGAGTAATGAGAGTTTGAAAGAGATGTTTTACGGAGAAAATAACTTTGCCACCACAGCGCTATTATCGGGAGGAAGATAATACATATTAAAACGACTAATTTGCAGACGATTTGAAACAAAATTTCGTGGCATGATATTTCGATGTTGACGTTCGTTCTACGTCAATTGCAGAGAATAGTGCACGTCATCAGATGGCATGCTGAATGTTATTGAAAAAGTCCGCTCGCTACGTGAGCGTCAGCACGAATCGCGCTTGTTATGTATCACGACGTACAAATTTTGTACACGTTAGCCGGGAGAGACCGCGAAAGAAAGTTTCTTACAAAATAAGCCGTCGCGTTTGTCAAAGGCATGTTACCGCGCTCGAGGAAACTAGCTTCAATTGCCTGAGAGTTTCGTCGAGATTTTCTCGTATCTCCGATATACGACAGGTGTAACGTCATACGATTTCGTTAGTTACACATCAGAGATGTCATTGTGCGCGGCTGTCGTTTTGGACGTCGTTTGTCTATTCTCTTCCCGCATCGTATGTGCAGTCGCCGATACGCGTTACGACATTATACGACTGCCGCACTTAGCTGTCCTGATCTGGTATAGTTACGACATCGATTATGTCGTAACGACATCGATTATGTCGTTTGTAATTCGAACGACACATATTACTACACTACAAGTGACACAAGTGCGCAGGTATACCACGATTGCTACGAACGCCAAGGCCGAACATACGTCTTTACGTAACCCGTCTAACTGGATGCATAATTATCTCGTATGTATATAAAGAGGTGCGCAAACAATTAACAATTCACTTACGTATGACATTTTTTTACACAGTTTCTTTCGCCACAGTTTCTTATGGTAGCAATAATTTCTGTGTAATGGTGTAATAAATTGTAGCAGTCGTGCCACCTTGTTCTTGTCACGCATTAATGCACGTCACGGGTATATTTATTGTAGCATATTTTATCGCAGCAATCGATTTACGTTCATCAGTTGTGCACCTTTCTATATTTTTCGCGAACAAAATCGATGCGTTCTCGAAGGAGTCGGGAGCGAGAAAACGAACGTAGAAAGCGGTGCTAAAAACAAACACACTTGGACTGACGTCAATTAGACAGTGCGAACGTTGGTAAGAAGATTACGACAAAGCGCAACCATGCTGCAATCGTATCTCGTACGAAGTCGCTCACACCGAACACACGAAATACGATCGAAATACGATCTCTTCTGTCTTCGCAGATCGCGACTTTCGATAGCACGAATTTGCAGTTCTTTTGTCGAAAGCGGCATGCAGAAACGTTCGCCGTGTAACTTGTTTGCCGAGCGTGCACCTTCTTTCCTTCGCGGTTCCGCGCGCGCGCGCGCTTTCCTTCGTTTAGTTATACTTCACGCAGACTATTTTCGCACGTGCATACATTTAACAAACCAAGTGGTCTGATGTAAGCACCACAGTAGTCTGTTACTTTCACTGTCCATCCTTTTTTTCGTGGGACATGCGAAAGCATCCACGGCCTGTGTGAGAGACAAACGGACATCTTAGTGGCGTTATAGAAATCCGTTTCTTTCCATATCGAGTGATGCGGAATGAAGTCCGAGGTCTCAATTACTATATACGCGAGCGCTTGAGAGGGGTAAGGAAGTAAGGAATGCCGACCTGAATTTACGACTAAATGTTAGGAATCGCCGCGCATATGTTCACCCGACCTGATGCGTCGACAGATAAGACGAGGAAGCGGAAACGGAGAAACGTGTGCGTGAGAACGTTGCATTTCGTGACGCGTGAGTTTTGGCACGAAACGCAGCATTACGTAAAACTGCGTTCGCTTGTCCGCTCGCGATTCGAAAGTTGTTACAATCTCGTGCGTCCGAGATCTCGGCGCGTCCTTCTCGCGTTCGCTTTTACAAACAAAGAAAATCGTCACGCGCTTTTAATAATGGGCGCTCGTTATCGATGAAGGATCGAACGGTCTTAACTTGCGACAATGGATCTTTAACGACGGAGAAGTCCGACAAAAGACGCGTCGCGGGGAAATACGTTGTCGCGATGTAGTCAACAGGATACCAATGCATAATACGAAAGGAAGAGAAAATAAATAAATTGTATTTTTCATGTTATTACAAGGAATGGCACCGCCACTCTGGTGTCATTGAGATTGCCACTTGGATGGCTACGACACACTCTACGCTCCTGATAGTTAGGTATACACATATGTACAGAATGTTACATGTATAAAATACGATATGTACAGGGACTTTTATGCGAGAGAAAATAAGTCGCCGAAAACATCTGAGACGTTTCGGGATAGAGAAAGTGTAATCTACGTTTAACATTCTTATACACCCTTCCGTATGCGGCGCGAGAATTTTAATTATATGTAGAGGAGGATCTGTGCCGAGACAATTTCGCCGTCGTCTTCCCGTCAACTTCCCGCACTTCGCTTTCTTTTTACTCGCCAGTCCTCCTTGATTATATCGCTGACCTTCTCACCGATCATGATGACCGGTGCGTTCGGATTGCCGCTGACGATGTTGGGCATGATCGACGCGTCGGCAACTCTAAGCCCCTTCACCCCGTAAACCCTCAGTCGCGGATCCACGACGGCCGTGGGATCACTTCGCGGTGACATCTTGCATGTTCCCGTTGGATGGTAGATCGTGAAGGTGAAGTGTCGCACGGCGCACTCCCAGTACTCGTACGTATCGAATGGGTACTGGTGGCAACCCGGCATGCGGATCGTGTGGGGTCTCGAGCCGAAGCGCTGAAACGCGCTGGTGTTGGACACACGAAGGGCCAGTCTGATTGCCTCTACGCACACGTCCATGTCCTCTTTGTACGCGAAATAGTTGGGATTGATCTCGGGGTGAACCAAGGGATTTCTACTCTTCAACCTGACCCATCCTTTGCTCTTGGGCCTCAGCAGGAGCGGCAGGATCGACCAGGTGTCGGCGCCGTGCAACGGCTTGTACATGGTGTTGTATATTCGGTCTGTCAGGCCGAGCGCCTTCTTGGTCTGCTCGTCGGAGTTGACTGCGGTCGGTAAGAAGTGAAACTGCACGTCCGGGTAATCGCCGGACTTATCGGCGTACTTGGTGTTGAGGAAAGCCAGTCCCTCGACCAGTGAACTGGTCATCGGGCCTCGTTCCTTCAATATGTACTCCAACATTACCGAGAAGGTCTGAAAGCGCTCTTTCGTCACGCTAATCGACTCATTTATCATGAAAAGCAGTCCGCCGAGACCCACGTGATCCTGCAGGTTGTCCCCTACCCGAAGATCGGATATCACCGGTATGCCAAATTCGGTCAGATGTTCGCTTGGACCGATTCCGGACAGCATAAGCAACTGAGGCGTATTAATGGCGCCAGCGGACAAGACAATTTCTCGCCTACACCTCACGACTTGTTGTCTACCGTCGCGGAGGAATTCGACACCAGTCGCTCTCTTATCCGCGTTGAAGAGCACTTTCAAAACTTGCGCGTGCATCGCTATGTGCAAGTTTGGTCTGTTCTTTACCGGTCGTAGGAAAGCCTTTGCCGTTGAGCATCGGCTGCCACGTCGTATTGTCATTTGCGTCAACATGAAACCGGTTTGATTAGCCCCGTTTATATCTTGATTCTCATAACCCATCTCTTGGCCGGCCTGCAAGAATGCGATCGCCAGAGGAGTTCTCCATGGCGCCTCTTGCACCGTCAAGTACCCCCCGGTCCTGTGATAAGGCGTTCTCGCTAAGTACGGATTGCGATTGTCCTCGGACTTGAGGAAGTAAGGCAGCACCTCCTCGTAGCTCCATCCAGTGTTACCCAGCCGGGCCCAGTCGTCGTAATCACGTCTGAAAGAAGCATTTGACGGTAATTATTGAAATTTATCTATATAATAACTTAAAAGCAATGCACACTGAGAGAAAAAATAGTTGGAATAACTATAATCTCACTATATTTTATAGTTCGTTTTCGCCTCAAACATATATTTATAGTTCATCTAAACATGAAGATATAGTAGAATGAACACAGATTTATAGTCACCATCTTATTATTCTGTATATATAGTAAAGCACCTTTTGGGAAGGTGCATAGTTACATGTACTTATATTTGCCAAATATTCAAATTGTATCGACTACATAAAATTTAATTTCTCTTACCATTCAATATTTGCTACCTTACTATATTGTTTATTTCTAATAATTATAATTCTTGGTAAAAATTTTACACGAGTCAGTTATACTATGTTTATATTGTAAATATTACAAATATTATAGTAACATTTACTATAAAAATTATATTCCTAACTATAATCTTTTTACTATGCCATTATAGTTCCAAATATCATACATTTTTCTATAAAAATTATATTTATATTTTATATTTACTATAAAAATTATATTCCTAACTATAATCTTTTTACTATGCCATTATAGTTCCAAATATCATACATTTTTCTATAAAAATTATATTTATATTTTATATTTACTATAAAAATTATATTCCTAACTATAATCTTTTTACTATGCCATTATAGTTCCAAATATCATACATTTTTCTATAAAAATTATATTTATATTTTATATTTACTATAAAAATTATATTCCTAACTATAATCTTTTTACTATGCCATTATAGTTCCAAATATCATACATTTTTCTATAAAAATTATATTTATATTTTATATTTACTATAAAAATTATATTCCTAACTATAATCTTTTTACTATGCCATTATAGTTCCAAATATCATACATTTTTCTATAAAAATTATATTTATATTTTATATTTACTATAAAAATTATATTCCTAACTATAATCTTTTTACTATGCCATTATAGTTCCAAATATCATACATTTTTCTATAAAAATTATATTTATATTTTATATTTACTATAAAAATTATATTCCTAACTATAATCTTTTTACTATGCCATTATAGTTCCAAATATCATACATTTTTCTCTCAGTGAAGCCAAAATGTGTACAACTTACCGATTACCACGAACGTAAACCATAGCGTTGAGGACGCTACTTCCTCCCAGAACTTTGCCGCGTGGCCAATTACATCTATCGCCTATCATGGCGAGACAGTAGCGAGATGTAGTGGGTGGTGAGGTCTGATATTGCCAATCGAGCTCTGTAAGCTGAGTGTAACCGGCTAACAAGGGAACGTCCGAAATTTCGTTTTCGTTACCGCCAGTTTCTAACAGTAGGACAGTCCAATTAGCTACCTCCGACAATCTAGAGGCGATCACAGCACCCGCGCTTCCTCCGCCGACTACTATGAAGTCGTACATTGGCAGCAGCTGAAATTGTATCAGTTCTAATTTAGACTACCAGATTGCTCTGTTAAACGTTTATTTCTTTTAAGTGCAATAAGAATTCTTTTTCTTCCAAAAAGCAACAAACAGTAATGTAATAATGTATGTATGAGGAGTGATTATTTATTCAAGCTATTATTCGTCGATTTACAGGCGTTGGTTTTATTGAGAGAGAAAAAGAGAGAGAAAGTTAAGGAGAGATGGAGAGGCAGGGAGGGAGTGAGGAAGAAGTAAGAGCGCAAGTACGAAAATTGTTGATTGATAGATCGCTCAGTCGGTAATCGTGGATCATGAATGTTACTTTATCGATCAATGTGGAAACCTGACCCCGTAAGGTCGGTTGAATGCAATACCTGACGTGCATTTTGCGGATGTGATTCTGGATCGACATTGTTGTACCGAAACACAGTGAGGCCGATTGCTAAAAGTGGAATCAAACCGAGTCCAAGAACGGAAGTGGCACCGATCAAGGTCGTTAACCCTGCTGCCATTTCCTTTTATTTTCACCGACAGACTTCAGTATCTAGATGCATTCCATTTGAGAAGATTATCCTTTCAAGCAGCGCTACGAAACGCGTATCTTCTGAAAGCAAGCTGATAAAAATCTTACAGTATTCGTTCATGAAGAAGCATACAATACTATCGAACGAGATATCTATTTTAGATCGTTAGATTCATTAGTCTCATTTCACCGCTTACGTTTACTTGGAATTTAATTGGTAGACACAGATGATTCAGGTAATCGCAGTTTCAAATCTTTCGTTTCGTTCAAACAAATCGACGCTGTCAATCTTTTTATAACTTCTTATTTCGTGTTTCCGTACCTTCTTCTCTTTACGTCAACGTGATCCGTCAACAATCGTATTACTATTTGACATGACATCTCGTCGCTTCGTGAACATTTGAAAGATGATGTTTGACAGCTGGGAACGTCGTTCGTCACAAGGATATCCTCGCGTTAGCTGTCACGCCTGTTACTGCGTTCATTAATACGCCACTCGCGCACATTTTCACACTAATTTTTCAACGTTGTCTCGCCGTGATCACCCGACCAGATTCTTACTCGCTAAACTTTCCCAAGATATCGCCGGTGTCATTCCCAGTGCAGAGATCACACTTCGATCACACTCCGATTACATTCAGCATTGTGACACACGCGCTCAAGAAACTTCAACCTCGTCGATAGCGCACCGCGGCTCTCGACTGATATAGCGGCAAAGCTGCAGCGGAATGAGACTAATGCCGGTAGGAACGAAACTGTAGTGCGGTGAATGCCGAGAGTGAAAAGCAGTTGGGCCCCCAGTATATATCCTTTCAATGCCAATCTCGTGAAAACGTGACCCCGTAAAGCCGAACGTTCCCGAATTTTCTCCCCGAGAAGAACCTAATTATTTTTAGCACCGTTATCGTTTTCAGGTTCGTTAAGATTCGTTAAGATTTTTTTTTACACTCGGTTGAATTCACATAAAATTCATAATCGATGTCCCACTTACACCGTTCCTTTTTAATGACAGATGTTCTAGCCAATTGAGAGTCCATTTCGCCTCAACGAAATTGTATTTAAGGCATCGATAATTTGTATATAAATGAACTTTACGCGATTAAATGGAAAGAAACTGATAAAATGAGATTAAATGAATGTGAATTTATGACTAGAAAATAAGGAAGTCAATATGTGTATGATGCGTCAATATGTGCGTGCGTGTATGTAGAAATCTACATTATTTATATTTTCTTATGAACTAGTACTTTATATTGGAGTTTTTATTATAAATGGAGTTATTCGCTGAAAATTAGTTTTTCCAACCTCCAAGAATATGACGACAATAAGATAATGAGACTGCTTTTTTGGCTCTTCATTTTGCATAGTTAACATTTAAATTGTATATAATTGAAATATACGCGCACCTCTACGCCTGGAGAGTAGCAAAACGTTGAAGAAACGAGCATGGAAAGCTCGAGCGATTGAAACGTTTTCCTGCTCCGCCGGTGGAACGTGAAATAAAGTGGCATAACATAGCATTTATTTTATCAAATAAACGCGCGACCGCTGGCGATCGTAATTACGTTAACGAGCGTTCCTTTTTCTCTCTACAGCTGCGGAGCTCCAAGGCGCGAGTCACGCCTCACACACAGGTGCTTGCACTCGCGATTGATATGCGGCTCGGCGATATGGAACGCTATCGAATAAGGATCTGGCGGCGTGCGTGATTTTACGCGCGTCGTTTTCTTTCGGACGCATGAATCGAGACACACGCGCGCTAACGTGCCAGCGTCTTTCTCTTTGCTTTCGTGGCGAGCACACATACGTGGCGGGACGAGTTCACCTCGGCGCACTTTCTCTCCTTCGTGGTGTCTACGTGCCGTTCGGCAGACGACCGCACGATCAACGCATACGTTTACGTCGCATTACGGGCTACGGGTGCGGCAGTTTCGATTTCCTGGTTAACCTTGTCCTTGACTTGCCGGCCAGGTTTCACCGTCGCGGCTTTTTCCTCGCGATATTATCGTATTCGGAACGCGAATTTAACGTAGATTTTAACGTCGGTAGAAACGTTGGTCCCGTTACGGCATCGACGCGCATGTGTGATTCCGTTATCTTCCTTTTTTCGTGTCATCCGGTGCTGTGCCGGGTGTTTTTGCAGACCTGCAGATTGGAACGCAGACTTCTGATCTGAATTACACACTAGAGTATGCATTTTTGCAACGTGTTTTATTATAGCCGCAGCAAGTTTATTGATGTGCAAATGAATGATGTGGATGCTCAGACGAATTAGGTGACAGCTACAAAAGTAGCTCACTGCCGATGGCGATTTAATTTGCGCATTCTAGCGCGGACTCCGAACGACGACGTTTCACTTTTCCTCCCACGAGATCTCACAATTTAGCGGCTTTGCAGCTTTGCATCGCCACACGGGCCGGGAGAAAACATCATTCTTCTCTCTGTTTCGTTCGGCAAAGGTATTACGCGTATCGTGCGCGTCTGGCAGAAGAGGAAAACGGAAATTTTCCAGCGAATGTGTTGCGAAATCGGCATGCATTCCTCTTTATCGAAACGCGTTGCACATTTTGATCGTTCGCAAAATTTCTCCCCATACCATTTGCCTAGGATGTCCCGAAATTCGCGACTAAAATTTTAATGAGACTCCTCGATGCATATGAAATCAACGTTCGTTTAACGGCAACAACTTTGATTGTTGCATCTCTGCGCATCAGAGAGAGGGAAAGAGAATGCGACACGCGTCTGATGGCTTGTACGGAAATATTGAACAGTGATTTCATAACTTTTACGTATAGTTCTTCGAAGTATCAACAGGGACTCCTACGTTATATTGACCGAGAGAAAAATTTAATACGGAATATTTAATGGGGATTTCCATCTAGAGCTGTTTGGAATATTGCAAAAGAGGAGAGCTCGATTATTATTCGTATCACAAAAATCATGATTATACGATCTTACTTGCTACAGACACCTGCGTTACCTTTCGTACTTGCACGTGGGTTACCGTCTTCTTCGTCCGAAAGTAGCTAAGAAAGTCGGCAGGTAAATTTCGCTTGCTAAACCTGTCCGTAGATAGCGCTACCTCAGCAAACTTTCCTTCATCGCTCAATTAATATTTATTTCAACTCAGACGAACATGTGTTTTGATTGCGTTTCTAAGATTTCCAATAATATAAGGAACATTAAAATAGGTTTTAAACGAGTATTCTCTACGCAGACAAATATTTAAGTATTAATTTTGAATATCTTGATTTGTTGTCAACTACTCATGATGGTAATTACACCGTTGTTGATCGAGTTTGCGCTAAAAACGATAATTGAATAAGTATTATGTTAAAAGACAACACGCTTCGATGGATCTTTGGCGAATGGTCAAAGTGCTGGCAGTGGATCGATTATATAAGCAGTTGTAAGTGAAATTTACTTTCATTCCTGGGCCAAATCAACGTGATACATTCGAGAAGGTTTCGGTAACCGGCAACGAAATTTAATCATGAGAAACTCAAATAGCAAGAAGCACGATAAGACCTGCTCAGAATAAGTATTTAACCTCCTTTCGGGAAGTAAGAAAATAAAGCATAAAATTCCTCAGACACTTCATTAAATATATAGTCCAGATAATATCAAAATTTATTTTAATTTTCTCTCTCAGCATGAATTATATAAAACTTGTTTCTTCAGACCATATGTAATTTCTCTCTTCAGTTTTTTATACAAGAATATTACTTCACAAATGTAGCATGTGTATGAAGATGTGTCTAATTAATATGTATGCGCACTTTTTTTATTTTATCTTCCTCAATACCTTTTAACGCTTATTCATTATTTTATTACTATTAGTACATCATGGAAAAGTAGAAACGTCATTATTTAATATTACGTTTCGGGCTGTCGCTTTTTCAGTTAACGAGTGGCTCAAACGAATAGGTTACCATATGAAATCCATGCATTGCGTCATCAATTAAGAAAATGGTCGTATTCTTTCTCCCAACTCCTAATAAAATGTCACTCCATGTAATTTTCCAAATCCCAATAAAACTCCGTTTTACCAACACGCGTTCTTAATAAAAACCCTACACATGTACGTATGTACATGCGTGATTGACATGTAATAATGCCTTTGCCTGAGCGTACAGACCGCCATTATGTCGGTGCATTTGCATCGAATACACTTCTCGAGGTATTGCACGAATAAATCAATAAAAAGGCGATAGCGACTGCATAGCGCAGAAATTGCAATGATTTGTCTATGCCTCTCTAGCGTCATAACAGAGAACGTACTAGCCCTGACGCAATTACAGATTAGTTACGGTAGATGCATTTTGCGCGATCTAACTGCTCGAGTAAATTTTCACGTCCCGATATAATGCGTTAGAAATGCTTCCCTGCGTTGTTCTTTTGCGTACGCCCGTATAATTCGCATTACATTATTAAGAATCTTAATTGCAGTGGGGAATGTTATTTGTACTTTTAGTTATTCCAAAGCCATCCGACTCAAATTCAAATCATTCTCCGATAGCCTCAGATAAATACTGGACTAATTAAATAATGCTTCCCTGCGTTGTTCTTTTGCGTACGCGCGTATAATTCGCGTTACATTATTAAGAATCTTAATTGCAATGGGGAATGTTATTTGTACTTTTAGTTATTCCAAAGCCATCCGACTCAAATTCAAATCATTCTCCGATAGCCTCAGATAAATACTGGACTAATTAAATAATGCTTCCCTGCGTTGTTCTTTTGCGTACGCGCGTATAATTCGCGTTACATTATTAAGAATCTTAATTGCAATGGGGAATGTTATTTGTACTTTTAGTTATTCCAAAGCCATCCGACTCAAATTCAAATAATTCTCCGATGGCCTCAGATAAATACTGGACTAATTAAATAAGTATCAATTAAAAAAGAACATCTAAAAGTTTGATACTGAAGAAATATTATTTATTATTCAAATTTATTCACAATACCTTTTTATCTCTAAAATGGAACGTTGACCGTTAATTGGTTAATTTTTGATTGCATAAGTCATCCCAGCAAACACCAACTAACGATAACATTACGTCGTAATAATTTTCCGCTCAACAGTATTACTGTTACATAACACACGTGTTATATCGCATTTCCATTATTTAATAGGAAATTGTAACATTGACATAATGTTACCGTTGGTTGGTTTATGCTTACTGGAATTCTTCCTTTTCTATTACCTAATCACTTGTTTTAAAAACGAAGTCTTTCGTTACTCCTGGTATGGCAAACTCTTTGCGCGAGTGCATTACAACATTCACGTGCAATTATTTGCATTCCCGACATTCTCCACTGGAATATCTGGGGCTCGATTGTGTGAGAACACAACGCGAACTCTCCACGTCAAAATTTGTTAAAAATACTGGCAAGCACGGCCGAGGAAAATCCCACGAAAGTTACAGAATTCAAGTCACAATACCGCATGGAGAAACGTGGCATTTTGAAAAAGCACTTAACATATCTCTGTTTTACATCCACGACGCTTTCACCATGTCGGCGGCTTTTTCGCCGATCATGATCACCGGTGCGTTTATATTGCCGCTAGGGATAGTCGGCATGATCGATGCGTCGATCACCCTCAAACCTGTAATCCCGTAGACCCTCAATTCCGGGTCCACGACCGCCATGGGATCGCTGGGTGGGCCCATTTTGGCTGTGCAGCTCATGTGATAGATGGTCATGGTGTACTGCCTCACCGCGCAGTTCCAGTACTCGTCGGTGAAGAGGGGAATGTGCTTGCAGTTGGGCAGCGGTTTGCTATGAAATCTCGAGCCGAATCTTCTCATGCTGCTCGTCTCGCCGAAAGCGATGGCCGCCTTGACACCTTCGCGAAGCACCGCCACGTCTTCTGGGTGGGTGAGATAATTGTGATAGAGCAGCGGATAATCCAACGGGTTTTTAGACTTGAGTCGGATGTACCCGCGTGACTTGGGCCTGAGCATCATCGGGAATACGCTGAAGACGTCGCGGTTGTTGATCTTGCTGAATACCTCGTGGTAAAATTCGTTGGTAAGGCCGTGAGCGTTCTTTACATGAGTGCCGCCGTCCGAGTTGGTTGACGAAGACGTCAGCATGAACTCGATGTCTGGCCAATCGTCACTCTGATTCGCGTATTTCGTGGATATAAAACCGACCGCCTCGAGACCGATGCTCGACGTCAACGGACCGTCCTCGGTCACAGCGTATCTCACCGCCGAATTTACGTTCACCAACCGATGCATCACTGTGCTGATCTCGTAATCGATTAGAAAGGTTAATCCTCCCACGGCAATGTGGTCCTGCAGATTTTGTCCGACCCCGGGCGAGTCTTGAATCACGGGAATTCTCAGATCCTCCAAGTGAGCGCGTGGTCCTATTCCCGACAGCATTAACAAAACCGGAGTGTTGATGGCTCCGGCCGAGAGGATCACCTCCTTCCTGGCGTACACAATCTCTTTACGACCGTTCCTGATGAATTCCACCCCGTACGCCTTTCTACTCAGTGGATCTATCAATACTCGAGTGACGTGGCTCCATAGGGATAGGTGAAAATTCTTTCTCAGTTGGATGGGCCGTAGAAATGCCTTGGCGGCGCTACACCTGGCGCCCCGACGCATCGTGAACTGAAAGAAGGCAAAGCCGGTCTGTTGGTCGCCGTTAATATCTCGTATATCATAACCCATCTCTTCGCCGGCCTGAAGAAATGCCACACCCAGCGGAGTGAGATAAGGGCTATCCTGTACCGTGAGATATCCTCCTGGAAGAGTTTCGAGAGATGGAGTAACAACAAAATGATTATCATTCCAATAATTTCATTCGTCTGATGAGAAATGAAACGCACCAGTTCTGTGATATCGCGTATCGCGCGCCAAGTATGGGTTCCTTTGATCCTGCGACTTCTTGAAGTACGGCAGCACGTCCTTGTATCCCCATCCGGGATTTCCATAGCTCTCCCATTGATCGAAGTCACGTCGGTTACCGCGGATGTATAGCATCGTGTTCAAGACGCTAGAGCCTCCAAGGACCTGAGGGAAATATCATTCCAAGTTATGAGGCGACGAAGAATTGTACAGCAGTGAGTTTCTTATCGGCAAATCTCGTTGATCTAACGCGTGTGTATGCCTCTATCACTGTTTATTACGGAAATCGTGTATTTATCCGTGAATTAGCAATGACACAGAATGACAGTACGAGAAGATCCGGAATTACTTTCACTCCATGTGGTCTACGCGTTAGTATACTCGCCACTCAACACTTTGTAGTATGTGGCAATAACCGGAACACTTTCGTAGCCGACGATTATCGACCGTTACCGACGTAATTGTCGATTTCGATTTAATCGGATACTCAACTTTAATATCCGTTTTCATCAGCGAAATGACACAATCCCAATTTGATAGATTTTCCCAGACGTTCGACATAACCGTAGGGATTTAGATTCTCGCGCTTTAGGAATTTAGACTTGCGTAATTGAGTCAGTTATATCGTTCGGTATAAATATTAATAAGTTGAATGTTGTTTTGACTTAGAGAAACAAGTAAAATGTGTTGTGACAGAAACAGTGGAAATGAGAGTCAGAGAGGTCAGAACGATCGTGTCTCGTTTGCGCTTCGTGTAAAAACATAACGTATGTTTCTTAATAATTAATCTTATTTTTTGTTACATTTTCTACATAATGTCGCAGCAAGTGAAGTAAATCAACAACATAATAGGATACTGTGTCAAGCACTACGTCATAAATTATATATATATAGATCGTTTATGTATCGTTTAAAACTCGTTCTATGTAACTAGGTTTTCGGATGAAACAACACTTTTAAAAGTGATTATTATTTTTTTCCAATAAGGATAATCGTCTTGCTCATCATAAATTATGTATAGATATGTATAGATATGTATAGATATCTATAGATTGTTTATATGCGATGTCATTTGAAAGTCGTCCCATTCAACTAGGTCTTCGGATGAAGCAACACTCTTAAGTGATAATTTTTTTCCAATAAAATAACCGTCTTGCTCATTATAAGTTATATATAGATCGCGATATTATTTGAAAGTCGTCCCATGCAACTAAGTCTTCGGATGAAGCAACACTCTTAAATGATAATTTTTTTTTCAATAAAATAACCGTCTTGCTTATTATAAGTTATATATACACTGAGAGAAAAAAATAGTTGGAATAACTATAATCTCACTATATTTTATAGTTTGTTTTGGTCTCAAACATATATTTATAGTTCATCTAAATATGAAGATATAATAGAATGAATACAGATTTATAGTTACCATCTTATTACTCTATATATATAGTAAAGCACCTTTTGGGAATATAGTTACATGTACCTATATTTGCCAAATATTCCAATTGTATTGACTATATAAAATAGTTAATTTCTCTTACCATTCAATATTTGCCACCTTACCATATTTTTTATTTCAAATAATTATAATTCTTGGTAAAAATTTTACACGGGTCAGTTATACTATACTTATATTGTAAATATTACAAATATTATGGTAACATTTACTATAAAAATTATATTCCTAACTATAATATTTTTACTATGCCATTATAGTTCCAAATATCATACATTTTTCTCTCAGTGTAGATCGCGATATTATTTGAAAGTCGTTCCATGCAACCAAGTCTTTGAATGAAGCAACACTCTTAAGTGTTGTTTCATCCAAGATTGTTTTTTTTTTTTAATAAAATAACTAGCCTTGCTCCATATACTCAGTTTTTCATTTTGTATTGCGCATATTGAATTATGCATATAATTAAAAGGAAAAAGCGAGCACAACAATTATTTCTCACCTTGCCTCTTGTCCAGCAGCATCGGCGATCGACCATCGCCTGGCAGGCTGAGTTCTGCGGTTGCGTGCGGTACTTCCAATCGATCTTGCTCTTGTGCAAATAGAGTGACAGTATGGGCACATCGGTGATCTCGGTCTCGTGTCCGCCCGCCTCTAGCAGGAGCACGTTCCATTCGGGATTCTCGGTCAATCTGTTAACAACCACGCTTCCGGCTGAGCCGCCGCCGATCACCACGAAATCGTATTCTTTCCGTAATTCCCTCGTCACGCGCGGCTGATTCTCTGGGTCCATGAGGTCGTAATTAAAGTAGGCCAGCGCGGCGATCAGCACCGGGATTATAGTAACTTTGCCGATTCCGACGCCCAAGAGGACGGTGGTCGCTTTCAGAGCGGCGCCGATCACTGTCATAATACCCATCTCGATTCTCGTGGTCTCGCTACCGACTGAAATGTAGATCCCCTCCGGGATTTACGAGTCGTTCAATTCGCTAATTCCTCTCGTCCTCTTTTTTCGACAGCGCGTTTTTCCGGTTGCACCTCATAGAACTTATCTTTGGTGTACGTCAGTTAATATTTATTTTCTTTTCCACTTCTTCGAAGTCGTCGTTATTGCATTATTTCATTATGCATCTCGTTGTCACAAGGTGATAAATACCAAATCAATTGCGTGATCACAGGTCAAGCTACTTGCGAGAAATGTAGATAAGGGTGACTGACTAATGACACGCACTATGAGTCGCCTCTGTATATCCGACGCATTGCTGAATAAATAAGATTGCGAAATTGTTTCTCTCTGTGAGCTTTGTGTATGAGAGTCTGAAAAAATGCAAATTTATTTTAATTATTAAAATATTTCATTTATGACGATATATATTTCATATATATTTATTGTATTCTCTCTCTCTCTCTCTCTTTCAATCGATTTTTAGACTAGCGCTTTAAATAAATGTCATGCTGACTAACATAATAAAAGTGTAGAAAGCGAAAATTTATCTGCCAAATCGGTATTACCGATTATTCATTAGGATTTATCATTAAACATTCAAATCATCGTGTTCATCGACAGTTTAATTTTGCAATTTTGGCCAGTCAAATGTTAAAGTCTATTGTGTATCTCTACATACTAGACTCGTGTTTTTTCGAAAACTAAACTGGTATACTGGTGTAGTAAGTTCGAGTGAAACAACAAACATATCCCGTAATAAAAACTTAATCATTCATTATTATTTCTGTTTTTTAATAATTTACAATATTCAAATAGTTATGTTATTTTATCTATTTGTGTCTCTAATTTCATATATATTTATTGTATTCTCTCTCTCTCTCTCTCTCTCTCTCTCTCTCTCTCTCTCTCTCTCTCTTTCAATCGATTTTTAGACTAGCGCTTTAAATAAATGTCATGCTGACTAACATAATAAAAGTGTAGAAAGCGAAAATTTATCTGCCAAATCGGTATTACCGATTATTCATTAGGATTTATCATTAAACTTTCAAATCATCGTGTTCATCGAGAGTTTAATTTTGTATTATCCTATTTCGAAATTATCTCCAAACTGATCCCTCACTTTCTATTGAAGTGGACTTCACAATATTGCTACTCGAAACACGAGCTTTGCGTAAGCGGTGAATCTGAGCTGTCTCTGAAACCGCATGCATGTGTATTTCTCTTTTTCTTATTTACATCTCCTTTTAAGTGGCTCTTAAGCAACCGATCTTCACGATCAACGATATGTACGAATAATTAAGCAAAGGATGTCGCGTAAATAACCCAAAAAGAAATTCAGATGGTAAATACTAAAAGATTAGCATTATATATAAAGATGCAACGTGTATTTTTATTGACCTACATTTTGCATTTTACATTCTTTGGGAATCCATATAACACCCATACAATAAGAAATTGTGAGTTATAAGTACAACAAGCCCGGTTTATGTATTGACAAATATATCGAATAAACATTTTTAATTTATAAAAGCACAATTCCGTATTAAAATAAATGTCGGTAGGTGCAAAACGCTCACGCGTCAGAAGATTAATTTAGCATAGTTATTCGTACGCGTACATTCTGAGTAAGAGTTTCTAATTTCTCTCGGATCGATCCGCATCACGTGATGGCAACACGTTACCAATTACATTAGTTGTGAGAACCTGTTTTCATAATCTGTAGGGACACCGCGTACGGAACAGTAAAGTCTGATTACTATCTGTTTTTAGAAGTTGAATATCACTCCGTGCCATGACACTGGTCGGTATTCCGGCGAAAAAACACTCTCGCGATGGTGCGGGATCAGGAGCACGTGGCGTTGGAAGACCATTGCGCGGTCGGCCAGCTTGTCGAAGTGGAGAAAGCGAAAGACTGAGACTTGGAACATTACGTTGAACGTATAAACCATACAATCCTACCACCTCTTTCTTACCGCCCAACCATCCTTTCCTCTGATACGCATCCTTGTTAAGATAGAATGCGCTTGATCTCTCAGCTTTAGCAAAACTCAAATAGTGAAACTTGACTTAGGTAATATTTCATGATAGTATTCTCGCACACGTGTGTTACGTCGAAGTCTACAACTACGCGAACCGGAATTGTCAAGATCAAGGTTAGGAATTAGCGAGTTCAATTATAATTTTAAGTTTCTCTTTTGTGCCAATTTTAAGTTGATATTTGCAAAACCAGCTGCGTTCAAGTTTCAAGGTTGAACTCTGAACTAATCGTAAAGGCTTTTAGTTGAATCAATAGATGAAATCATAACTAATCTTTCTTTTTTACTTCTGACGAGATTATTGTTTTTTTTTAATGCATGTAGTGATCAAATTGGTAAGCTGTTGCGATTTAAATATAAGTATAACAGCAATTAAGTATAACAGCTAGTATAACACGCAAAGATATAATTGCAAATTGAAGTGAAAAAAAATGAAGGCTTTTAAAAATCTTAGATTTTTGTTATGACAGAAAATTTGTTATGACAGCTGATATAACACACGAGGATATAATTTGTATGCGAATTGAAATGAGGAAATCAAGGCCTTTAAGAGCCTTAGAATAAAAATTTTAGTTCGCATTATACGCTCGCGAATAACTCTTGAAGATCTTAATTTCTCTCATTTTACCTTAAACACCTCTCATTTTACCTTAAAACGCTCGTTTTCATATCTTACCATTTAAATCATCTACTTATAAAGTAGCACACAATAATAATCCGCAACTTCACGTTCTGATACGCTTTGAGGTACTGATAGTAATATTCGCTAGTGTTATTAATCTTCTCACTCAAGTTGAGTTAAGTTAGGTTATAAATACATCAAATATATGTACTTGACATACTTGAGAGAATATATGAATTTTTCTGCGCTGTTAATTCCTCAAAGTTCCTCGAAATCACCGAAATCTATCGATTTGACTTGTTTTCGCAATTTTAGCTTCATTTCATCACTCATGCGTATTACGCACGTGTCGGAAAAAAAATTTCGCTTTCGCCGAGCGATTTTGAAACCTGTTCATTATTCAGTACTCTTTACCTTTCCACTCCAATTAGACAGAGTTTACCGTGTGACGTATCGCTGTATGCGCGGTATGTTTAAAACACCATGTAAAAGAAGCATTCGTATAATAGTGAAATGAAAGTCATCATAGAAATCACGAAAATCCTTGTATCAATTGATGACGTTATCAATATAACTGAAGAGACTTGTCGAGGATGATTGATGATCATTACTGAATCATTGATGAACCCTAGGGTTGTCTCAATTATATAAACATTGTTATATATATATATATATATATATATATATATATATATATATA